ACTCCAGTCTGGGCGACAGAGTGAGACTCCAACTCAAAAAATAATAAATAAATAAATAAAAAGCCAGGCATGGTGTGCGTGCCTGTAGTCCTAGCTACTGGGGAGGCTGATGAGGGAGGATCGCTTGAGCCTAGGAGTTTGAGTCTGCAGTAAGCTGTGATTGTTCTACTGCATTCCAACCTGGACAACAGAGCGAGACCTTGCCTCTTAAAAAAAGAAAGACAAGGACGGGCTCAGTGACTCATCCTGTAATCCTAGCAGTTTGTGAGGCCGAGGCGAGTGGATTGGCTGAGCCCGCACGTTCGAAACCAGCCCGGGCAACTTGGTGAGATCCCATCTCTACAATAAAATTAAAAATTAGCTGGGCATGGTAGCACGAGCCTGTAGTTCCGGAAAGCTGAGGTGGAAGGATCTTTGGTGTCCAGCGGGTCAACGCTGGGGTAGCCGTCAGCGTGCTGCTGCTCTCTAGCCTGAGTGATGGAGTGAGACTCCAACTCAAAAGAAAAAAAACAGGCTGGACTTGGTGGCTCAGCCTGTAATCTCAGCACCTTGGGAGGCTAAGGCTAGTGGATTGTCTGAGCCTGCAGGTTCGAGACCAGCCCGGGCAACTTGGCGAGACCTCATCTCTACAATAAAGCAAAAATTAACCAAGCGTGGTAGTGCGTGCCTGTTGTTTTGGCTACTTGGAAGACTGAGGTAGAAGGATTGCCGGAGCCCAACAGGTCAACTCTGGGGTTCGTGCCACTGCCCTACAGCTTGGGTGATGGAGTGAGACTCCAACTTAGAAGAAGAAGAAGCAGAAGAAAGGTCATGTATCTTAAGATTTTGAACCTGTATCTGTTTAGAATTGAAGGCAGATAGCAACAGGCCTTAAGTAAATTTAAGTTGAGTTGACCAGGTGTGGTGGCTCATGCCTATAATCCCAGCACTTTGGGAGGTCAAGGTGAGAGGATTGCTTGAGTCCACGGGTTCGAGACCAGCCTGGGCAACTTGGTGAGACCTCATCTCTACAATAAATAATAATTTAAAAAGTTCGCCAGGCATGGTTGCGCATGCTTGTAGCTCCAGCTCCTTGGAATGCTGACTCGGAAAGGTCACCTGAACCTAGCAGGTTGAGGCTGCAGTGGTCCTCAGTGTACCACTGAACTCCAGCCTGGGCGACAGAGCGAGACTCCTACTCAAAAAAAAAATTTAAGTTTAGTTAAATTGCTGAGGCTAAACATCCTTTAATATGGGTAGGAGTTTAACTCAGTTAACTTCAAACCTCTCTGTGTGTGTGTATATAGTATTCTTTTTTTTTCTCCCTCCCTGGCTCCCTCCTTTCCCTTCCCTATCATCCCGTATCTTCCCATCCATTCCTGGCCCTCCAGCTTTCTCCGTATAGTAGTATATTTTTGTTTTTTGGTTTTTTTTAGTTGGAGTCTCACTTTGTTGCCCAGGCTGAAGGGCAGTGGCATGCTCCTAGCTACCGCAGCCTCGATCTGCTGGGCTCAGACGATCCTTCTGCCTCAGCCTTCCAAGTAGCTGGAACTACAGGGATGTGCCACCACCCCCAGCTAATTTTTTTTATTTATTGTAGAGATGAGGTCTCACCAAGTTGCCCACGCTGGTCTCAAACCCATGGTCTCAGGCAGTCCTCTTACCTCAGCCTCCCAAAGTGCTAGGATTAAAGGTGTGAACCACTGTGCCCAGCTAGTATTATTCTTAACAGCTTTACCATCTCACCTTCTCTTATGGACTATTTAAGTAGTAGCTTTATTCTGATCTCACTTACATTTTTCTTTCCATAGGATGGATAGAATGACAGAAGATGCTCTTCGCCTGAATCTGTTAAAGCGGAGCTTGGACCCAGCAGATGAACGAGATGATGTCCTGGCAAAGCGACTCAAAATGGAGGGACATGAGGCCATGGAACGTCTAAAAATGTTGGCATTGCTCAAAAGGAAGGATTTGGCAAATCTTGACGTGCCACATGAGTTACCCACCAAACAGGATGGTAGTGGTGTCAAGGGCTATGAAGAAAAACTCAATGGGAATCTCAGGCCTCATGGAGACAACAGGACTGCTGGAAGGCCAGGCAAAGAAAACATCAATGATGAGCCTGTGGATATGAGTGCTAGACGGAGGTATGGCTCAGTTCAGCTGCCTCCAGGGATAGGGTCTTCTCATAAACTATGTCTGTGAAAATGGAATGAATCCCAATGAGGAGGGTGTTTTTCATCCTAAAGCTTCTTGAAGATATATCTGTATCATCTGGCTTGATCATAAATTCCTCTTATTTCTAAGTGAAGCCAGGTGCCTCAAAAACTGCCTAGCATAGGGAATCATAGTTGTTACTCTTAAAATAACAACTATGGTCATTTCTGGATAAAGGGGACACTTAGGGAGCTGATAGCCCAATTAGAATTGAGTCAAGTCATATTTTTACTCTAATCATATGGCCATTTTAGGAGGAGAAAGTCTTCAAATAATTCCAGGAGTTTTAGGATCTTTTTGTGTGTGTGTGTGTACTCCCAGCTTTTATTACACCCAAAAGCATGACTTTTCTTGTGTCAAAAAGCAAATTCTCTTCATGTGGTAAGTGTCTACATTTATGCTGCATCTATATCACTCCTCCTGGTTCCCACATATACATTTGTTTATACACGTATGTTTATTCTCATATAACACATGTGCAAGCACATTTTCACAGACCTTTTTTTTTCTGGTGTCTGAAAAGGTTGAGTTCTTGAAACGGTGGTGCACACACTAAGGAGAGGTGTCTGGAACTGGCTGAGGCTTGAGTCTAATGGGCAGTGAATCACAGCATAGCTAACCCTAGATTTAAGAAAATTCAGAAACAACTGCTTGCATGAGAATCAGTGTTCATTTGCCCTCCAAGTGACTTAGCTGGCTTTGTCCTAGGACTAATCCAAAGCAGGATCTTTAAGAAGTTGAACTGAAGCTGGGTACGGTGGCTTACACCTATAATCCCAGCACTTTGGGAGGCAGAAGCAAGAGGATTACCTGAGCCCAGGGGTTCTAGACCAGCATGGGCAACTTGGTGAGATTTCGTCTCTGCAATAAATAAATAAATAAATAGCCAGGTGTGGTGGTGTGCACCTGTGCTTCCAGCTACTTGGAAGGCTGAGGTGGAAGGATCACCTGAGCCCAGCAAGTCGAGACTACGGTGACCATGAGTGTGCCACTGCACTCCATCCAGAGACAGAGTGAGACTCCTAACTCAAAAAAAGGCGGGGGGGCTGATGGAGAATGAAGACGAAAGCAAGGAATGGTTCCAACTTTACATGTGTTTCTTTCTCTACTTTATAGGGTTTAGTTACTGGTCTTGTACCAGGGTTATTTTTTTAAACTGCACTTTATGAGGTAACGTTATTCTGGGTAAATAGCTTTAAAAACCCCTTGAATACATCAGATAAATTCCCCAGTGGTCCTGGAAGAGGAGAAAAATCCTTGGAAGTTATAGGTAGTATCAGCATATTGTAAGTAGATTAATCCTTAGATCTTTTGAAAGAAAAAGAAGTGTGTGAATGAGATCATGTACCTTAGCAACAAGGGGAGCTGTTAGGTAGATTATTCACAACCCAAAATGGAACTCAGAGCAGTTTTTTTTTTGTTGTTTGTTTTTTTTTTTGAGTCAGAGTCTCACTCTGTTGCCCAGGCTGGAGTGCAGTGGCCCACTTATGGCTACCACAGCCTCGACCTGCTGGGCTCAGGCAGTCCTTCCACCTCAGCATTCCAAGTCGCTGGAACTACAGGCACGTGCTTATTATTATTATTTTAATTGTAGAGACAAGGTCTTGCCAAGTTGCCTGGGCTGATCTCGAACCCACAGTCTCAGGCAATCCACTTGCCTCAGCCTCCCAAAGTGCTGGGATTACAGGCTGAGTCACTGAGGTTGGCCAACAACTTGCTCTTAATCATCCTTACTCTTCTGAAACAAGTGACTGATCCTACTTCATTTGGAAGGAAGAAAGAGGGGAGCTGTTAAGTAGATTCTTCACATCCCAAATTGGAACTTAGAGCAGTTTTCTTTTTTTGAGTCAGAGTCTCACTGTCGCCTAAGCTACAGTGCAGTGGCAAGCTCACAGCCACCGCAGCCTCAACCTGCTGAGCTCAGATGATCATTCTACCTCAGCCAAGTAACTGGAACTACAGGCATGCACCACACCCAGATAATTTTTGTATTTATTGTAGAGATGAGGTCTTGGCAAGTTGCCCACACTGGTCTTGAACCCATGGGCTTGGACAGTCCTCTCACCTGGGCCTCCCAAAGTGATGGGATTATGGGTGTGAGCTATCGCACCCGGCCAGAGCAGTTTTCAAAGAAACACTGATATACAATTTGGTAAGCTCTCATTAGTATTATTGGAATTGTACAGTATTGCAGATACAATATGTGTTAAAAAATCAGACTGTGCCAGACATGGTGGTTCATACCTATAATCCTAGTACTTTGGGAGACTGAGAGGAGAAGATTGCTTGAGGCCAGGTGTTCAAGGCCAACCTGGGCAACATAGCGAGACCTCTCTCCAAAAATTGTATTAAAAATTAGCCAAGCATTGTGGAGCATGCCTGTAGTTCCAGCTTCTCAGGAGGCTAAAGCAGGCGGATTATGAAGTGAGCTCTAATCATGCTACTGTACTTTACCCTGGATGACACAGAAAACCCTTCTCTAAAACATACACGCATGCACACAATGCACACACACACGCGCGCACACACACACACACACACACACACACACACACACACACACACAAATCAGACTGCTCTGAAAACCCAGCCTTTAAAAAATATTTTAATTGGGAGTGATAAACTCTTTAATTTTTAAAAATTTTTTAGAGATATTATCTCACTATATTGCCCAGGCTGTAGTGCAGTGACTATTCACAGGCTCAGCCATAGCACACTGTAGCCTGAGACTCCTGGGCTCAAGTAATCCTCTTACCTTAGCCTCCCAAGTAACTGGGAACTGTAGGTGCGTGCTACTGTGCCCAACATAGGAGTGATCTTTTGAAACAATCCTCTGGAAGCTGGGGACTCCACATGTACTGGCAGCTATTTTTTACACTGAGCACCCAGCTGCTTTATAAGAATGACCAAAATTGATAGAATCCCAGCAAGGGGATCCATGATTTATTTGATAAGGCCAAAAAGAGGAAAGAATTTGAAAGCAGAAGGAAAGACGAGTTCTTAACATGATAACCATGTCATAATTGCCTGCCTTATTTTGCCATCAGATGGGCAAGTTATGATATCTTTGAAATAAGGTATGTATGAAACCAGTACTACTTATATTTTGGAATTCTAGGGAGACAGTAGTTCTCTTGTTTAGTCATTTTTTTCCACTGGAATAAAAATTAGGAACCTTATAGCTTCTGGGAATATGCCACACAGAGTCACAAGTGATATCAGCAGCAAGTCAAGTTTTTAATAACATCTAAAAGGTAGGGGCTTCATACTTAAATAACCAAAATGTTGTAAGTTGTATGTATGTCTGGAAAAAGAGCAAAGGGTTTTCTCTTGTGGAATGTTGAACAAATAAGATCAGAATCCCAAGTCAAAAGTTTTTTAAAAATTGAAGAATGAGACTGGACTTGGGATTGACTTTATCTGTGCTATCTGTCTAATATGGGTCCGATTATATTTAGGAATAAAATATCACTTGGAGTTTTCCTCAGATGTAACTTCCTGATAAATATCACATAATTCTTCCATCTCCAACCAGGAATGTCTCTGCTTTTCTTGGTACTGGACAGTTCCAAGCAGTAGATGCCACTCACATGAGCAGGGAAGAATTCCTTACCTTAGAAATATTCAGCCAGGCTCAGTGGCTCAGCCTGTAATCCCGCGCCTTTGGGAGGCTGAGGTGAGTGAATTGCATGAGCCCGCGGGTTCGAGACCCGTCTGGGCAACTTGGCGAGACCTCATCTCTACAATAAAATCAAAAAAATTAGCCCGGCCTGGTAGCGCGCCCCTGTAGTTCCAGCTACTTGGAAGGCTGAGGCGGAAAGATCGCCAGAGCCCAGAAGGTCGAGGCTGCGTTGGCCGGGAGCGGCCACTGCACTCCAGTCTGGGCGACAGAGTGAGACTCCAACTCAGAAAAAAAAAAAAAAGAAATATTCTCCTGTAACGTATGTGTCCAGCCAGGACCAGAATGAAAAGAGTTTCTTACTGGTGATAGAGATATTGGGGGATTCAGCAGACAGTAAGGAATTTTCCAGACCTCCAAATTACTCACTTATGTCAGTCATGGGAGTGGGAGTAAGGGAATATAGAAATGATAAGTAAATCACACCAAAAAAATGAATTCAAACACTGTTTAGACCTGACCATTACTCCAGCTACTTGACGGTAGAGGGTGGGAAGCTCTTTTCTCCCTCTAGTGGCTTCTTTTTCTGTAATGCCACATTCTGTTTTATCTCTGACTGACAATCTAGATAAACTTAATAGTTCACAGTACAGTCATTCTCATCAATCTATTCCTCTATCATATTTTCTCAACTAAATGTGGTTGCTTTCAGTAACTCAAATTTACCCTGTTGAGAAACTGAATGCCTATCTTAATCATCAGGGGTGCTTTTTCAAAAGACATCCATGTCCCAACAGCAGCTGAAACAATCTCTGAGAGGCCAGGCGTGGTGGTTCAAGCCTGTAATCTCAGCATTTTGGGAGGCCAAAGCAAGAGAATTGCCTGAGCCCGCAGATTCGAGACCAGTTTAGGCAACATGGTGAGACCTCGTCTCTACAGTAAATCAAAAAATTAGCCGGGCGTGGTAGCACACGCCTGTAGTTCCGGCTACTTGGAAGGCCGAGGTGGAAGGATTGCTGGAACCCAGCAGGTTGACGCTGGGGTGGCCGTGAGCGTGCCACTGTACTCCAGCTGGAGCGACGGAGTAAGACTCCAATTCCGAAAAAAAGAGTCCCTGAGAAGTAGTGGAGAGGCTCTCACAACTAATGATCTGCAAGTATTAAGGGGTTAAGTTACTCATTTAAATAAGACCAAAGAATAGTTGCCTTAGACCTGTGTACTCCCAGCTATGCTGACAATCTCAAGAAAAGTAGGATCAAGGAAGATATGTTTGAAATCAGAGAAGAGTTAGAAGATATAGTCATTGATTTGGGAACCTAAGGCAATTAGAGTTTCCAGAATTCTTGTTACCTGGGTCTTAAGTAGTATGTGCCACTTTTCATCATTTTACAGATACAAATGATGCTTTTAAGGCTAGTCCCAGAAAGACCTAAATAAGAATAAATGTTTGATAAATAGAATTAGGAGTAAGAAGAGCCAGTGTGGGAGATTTAGGTTTCAAAGCAATATGTAGAGAACTTTTTTCTGAGAAAAGTAAAACTCTGGCAAGTCTGGTGTGGTCTCTCATGCCTATAATCCCAGCACTTTGGGAGGCAGAGGTAGAGGCAGGAGGATTGCCTGAGCCCAGGAGTTCAAGACTAGCCTAAGCAGCATAGTGAGACCTTGTTTCTACGAAAAAAAAATTTTTAATTTCAAAAAAAATTAGCCAGAGTGTACCTGTAGTCCCAGCTATTTAGGAGACTGACACAGAACAATCACCTGAGCCAAGGAGTTCGAGGCTACAGTGAGTCATGGTCATGCCACTACACTCCAGCCTGGGTGACCTTGAACCTCAACTCAAAAAAAAAAACTCTGGCAAGCGGATGCAAGTTCCATGCCTTTAATTCTGGAGTTTTAATCCTTTTCCATAAGGCTGTAGACATCACTTGACACAGTCCATTCCTTCAAACCACTGACAGTAGTAGTTCCTTCTTCTGTTCACTCTTCAATATCTGCTCTTGATAATATAGATTATCATTGGTATTGTCACATATAACCCACTTTTTTATAAATCCTCAATGAGAACTATGTTAATATTATAATGAGCTGCCTTTTTAGTAACATATCAATGTAGAAAAGTAGTTTTCTGTTTTATAGACCTTCACTATTGGAAATACCTTAATTTTTCCTTTTCTTGTCTAGTGAGCCAGACCGAGGAAGGCTAACTCCCTCCCCAGACATCATTGTTTTGTCTGACAACGAGGCTTCCAGTCCCCGTTCTAGCTCCAGAATGGAAGAAAGACTCAAAGCAGCCAACCTAGAGATGTTTAAGGTAAGAAGGAAAAATGCCTTCAATTTTCTTTAATTCTTTAACAGTCCCATTTGTCTTTTTTTTTTTTTTGAGAGTGTCTGACTGTCTCCCAGGCTGGAGGGCACTGGCATGCCTCTCGGCCACCACAGCCTCAACCTGCTGGGTTCTGGTGATCCTTCTGCCTCAGTCTTCCAAATAGCCGGAGCTGCAGGCGAGCGCTACCACGCCTGGCTAATTTCTTTTATATATTGTAGAGACAAGGTCTCACCAAGTTGTCCAGGTGGGCCTTGAACCCGCAGAGCCACTGAGCCCAGCCTGTCTTTTTTGATTATCTATCTACTGTTCGGATCTAAATGACTACCCATTAATGAAAACACTTTATAGTGATATTCAACTTCACCAGCATGCCTCTTTAAAAGGAACAGTTAGAATCAAATGGTGATGATAGTTTGAAAAAGTATATATATACTTCAATGTAGCTTATCTTTGGGGGAAAAATTTCATAATTCAAATCATATAAAGTAAACTCTTGGCTGAAAAGATACCTTCTTTTTTTTTTTTTTTTTTGAGTTGAGGTTTGTCACCCAGGCTAGAGTGCAGTGGCAAGCTCATGGCCACCGCCACCTTGACCTGCTGCACTCAGGTGATCCTTCCACCAAAACCTTCCAAGTAAATGGAACTACAGGATGGCTGCCTGATTTTTTAATTTATTGTAGAGACGAGGTCTCGCCAAGTTGCCCAGACCTGTCTTGAACCCGTGGGCTCAGGCAATCCTCTCATCTCATCCATGCAAAGTGCTGGGATTACAGGCATGAGCCACTGCGCCCGGCCTGGAAAGATACCTTCTACACTCTGTCCTAAATTTCAGAATATGAAGGGATTTTTTTTTTTTTTTTTTTTTTTGAGTTGGAGTCTCACTGTCACCCAGACTGGAGTGCAGTGGCATGCTCCCGGCCACCACAGCCTCAACCTGCTGGGCTCCGGCAATACTTCCACCTCAGCCTTCCAAGTAGCTGGAACTACAGACGTACACTACCATGCCTGGCTACTTTTTTATTTATTGTAGAGACGAGGTCTCACCAAGTTGCCTAGGCTGGTCTTGAACCTGCAGGCTCAGGCAGTCCACTCGCCTCGGCCTCCCAAAGTGCTGGGATTACAGGCTGAGCCACTGAGCCTGGCCTGAAGGGATTCTTAAATTTTTTGTGTATATCTAGAAGAAATGTGACTTTAAGATATTTTAAAATGGGCCGGGCTCGGTGGCTCAGCCTGTAATCCCGTGCCTTTGGGAGACTGAGGTGAGTGGA